CCAATATAAAGTCAATTTCTTTTAATGAGGGAACAGTAAAAGCTTATTCTGAAATCTGTTTGGTGAGATATCTTTTATTCAAAATTGGATAGCAAAGCCTATTATCTTCAGACATGGTAAATGGAAATATTATCTAAATGATCTCAAAGTGTAATTTGGGCTAAATTCTGGGAGTAAGAGGCATGGGATAGTTAAAAGTGGGAAGCTTAAATTTTTTTAATGTCATGGGTGAAGTAAGGAATTTATTATGTCAATATTCAGCATATTTATCATGTTTCTAAACATAGTTTTGTATAGAGAATTTGATAATTTATAAGATGATCAAGCTTTAACTTGTATCCTAATAACTATCTTTAATAGCTTGTAATTTATATATGACTTATCCTTAAGAATGTATAGTTTAGGTTGGCCAATCATGTGTATTTTTAGAACGACTGCTGGTATTACACAAATTTTGGTTTTTTGGTTGTGAGACAGGGTCTCACTATATATTCCTGCTGGCCAGCCTTGAATTCCTAGAGTAGTGAGATCGAAGGTGTGCACCACCATGCCTGGCCCCTAAGCATTTCTTTTTTTATATTTTTGGTTTTTTGACACAGGGTTTCTCTGTGTATCCCTGGTTGGCATGGAACTCACAGAGATCCACCTGCCTCTGCCTTCTGAGTGCTGGGATTAATGTCATGTGCCACTAAGCATCACTCCATTGCTTTTCTCTTCTTCTTTTCTTTTTTATGTTTAATTGAAGTATTTTTTGAAATAGGGTTTCTCTGTGTAGTTTTGGTGCCAGTCCTGGATTTCACTCTCTCAGCCAGGCTGGCCTTGAACTCTCAGAAATCTGCCTGCCTCTGCCACCCAAGTGCTGGGATTAAAGTCATGCGCCACCACCTCCGGCTCCCATAGCTTTCAGTTACTGTGGTGAAATGCCACAACCCAAACCAACTTGGCAGGGGTTTATTTACCTTAAATGTCTTGATCAGGGTGTGTCATTGAGGGAAGTGCAGGCAAGAACCATGGGGAAAGCTTCCTGGCTTGCTCCCACAACTTGCTCAGCTGCTTTTCTTACAGAGCCCATAAGAAAGGGGCTATCTGCAAGGGGATAGCACTGGGTCCTCTTCCACCAAACAGTAATTAAGAAAAAGCCTTGCCGGCCATTGTGGTGGAGGTGATTCCTCAACTGAGGTTTTCTCTTCCCATGTGATTTTAGCCTGTCAAATAGACAAAAACTAAGCAGCCTGTCTTTATGGTCATCTGTTCCTCTTTCTTTCAAAGAAATGTCAGGTCTTTTCCTTCTCCTTGGATTGAGCTGCTTGTGGTTTTATTGTTACTATTGTTGAACTGTGAGAGTTCTTTATATATTTTGGCCCATGTTCAGATGTACAAAACATAACATTCTCTGGCACTTGAAAATGGTCTCTCCACTTTCTTGATCCATGGTCTATTACTTGTTAATAGTGCTTTAAGTTGCTTTCAAAGTGTAAGTAGTCTGGAGAAAGAGTGTGATCTTTGATGTCTGTGTACAAGACAGAATGATTAAGTCAACTTTTTAACACCCAGTACAATTTTATTTCCCATTTGTTATGGTGAGGCATTGGAAATTTGTCTTGGCTACTCTGAAATATACATGGCCATTGACTACAATTCTCTATGGGTTATTTCTAACCTGCTCCTCTTTCCTATGTGTAATTTACATCATGTTACTGAAGCTCCTTGGTGTTTCTTTCCCACAATCTGTTTAGCCTCATTTTATATTTATTTATTTATTTATTTATTTATTTATTTATTTATTTATTTATTTATATTTATTATGCAGTGTTCTGCCTGCACACCGCAGTTCAGTAATTATTTCCTGTAGGAAAATAGTAATAGACACTGCGTGATGGAAGGTCAGGTCATTGTTCACATTTAAGGTTAACTTGCAGGCCTAACAATGATCATTTACCATGTTTCTTATTATAGGGAATCTTAGACAGAAAACACAGTCATTGAGTCAGGGTCACATAGGCCAACAGTGGCACAAGCTATCTGTCCACAACCACATCTCCAGGTCTCCACCGTAAAGACTTACTACATGGCCTTAACTCTTCTAGATCATTTTATAGACTCAGGATTCTTATAAGGCTCCCGGATTCATGTCAATCAACATCAAACACCTGACAAGAATAGTCTTCCTGTGAACCAGCATGACCTAAATGTCAGGCAGATCCTAAGCTCTGTGAGATCTCAAACAGGCAGTCAGGTTTCTCAGGGAAGCTCAATGAGAAGACTAATCATAACCTATCTGTAGGACGGCCCTGAACAGCAAAGCCTGGGAGGGCTCCGATCTACACACAGCAGGAGAGGTCAGCGTAGCTGGAGGGATCTGAACCTTGTGTCTCAAGGCAGCAATTGGTCAGTGAGGACCAGGAAATAAAATGAGAACTGTGATTCCAAGTCTTGAGTCTGACCATCACCAAACACTGCAGCTCAGTTCACTCATGAGAAAATCCTGGCTATTCCAATACACAGCACAGGAGGCCCCATTATCTCTGAGCACTCAGCCAATCCATCTGCCTGTAATTTGCTTCCTGCCTGATTCTCTAAGGATCTGGGTAAGCTGGGAGTTAAGAGACTATCTCTGGTTGTAACAGGCCTTTGCAAGAATCAGAAGTAACACACATGACAATCATTTCTCTGTGGTCAGCACAGCACTGCTACCCAAGCCCAACATCACAACCAACAATTCCAATCCCTTGGACGGTAACGACTCAGTAGCATTAGTGTGTGAGCCTACGATTCACAATCCAGCTAACTTGTGGAGGATAAATGACCAAACCCTCTCAGGAGAGGACAGGCTGAAGCTGTCTGAGGACAACAGGACTCTCACTTTATTCAGTGTTGTGAGGACTGATATAGGTCCCTGTGAATGTGAACCTGGAACCAAGTGAGGGACTCCAAAATCGACCCATTCTCTCTGAACATTACCTGTAAGAATTTTCTGTTTATTCTTGGCCCCAACTGCCTAAATACAGAGGGCTAGAGCTACCATGCTTAGTACCAGTTCTCTTGGGTTCACGAAACATACCTAATATATTAATACCTAGGCTGCCAGGGCATCCTGAGTCAGCACAAGCATATGTGGACAGGCCCACCATTGAGCCTGAATGGGCTCCAGGGACTTCTGCCTAGAGAGACTCAGGGTGATGGAGACATGGGACATTTCAGACTCGGGGTCAGTGTACACATGAGCGTGCAATGTTGATGTGTGCGTGTTGTGCTTGAGATAGATCAGGGTATGTGATGCTGAATAAGTACTCTTCTACTAATCTCCTCTCCAGCTCTGGGTGAAATCTGCTCAATTAGGTTATTACACAGCTCAAAGAGATACTATGTCCTTCTACAGACCAGGATTTACTCTTCCATCTGCTGACGTCACCTGTGGCTTTGTTCTGTTTGCTCCAGATGGTCCAGGTGTCCTGATCGTATTCCCCTCCAATATTTATTTCCATTCATGGACAATCCATAAATCTCCTGCCACACAGATGCTAACCCATCTCCACATTACTCTTGGCCTCTCAATGGAGAAAGCTCATATAATCCTCCCAAGAAGTCTTCATCCACAACACCAATACTAATAATAGCGGTTCCTATTCCTGCCTCATCTATAACGTTTTCCCTGGAGTCAATAGGACCAGAGTGAAGAAAATTACAGTTCTTAGTAAGTGAAGTGGATCTGAAATATCAGCAGCAGGTTTGGATTGAAGCCTTTCGGCGCTCTGGGAAGGTGCAGAAGCATTTCATTTCCAGTGCATGTCTATGGGAACAAGGAAAACTCAGTCTTCCCCCAAGCCTCCTGCTCCATCCCTATGTCTAGTGACTTCCTGGTTCTCTGATTTCTGGCTGAGAGGGATGGAGCTGCAATGTGAGGAGGAGGTTATCCATGTCTTGGAAAACCTAAGGTTCTGTGAGGGACTTTTCATGGTTAGGAGAGACTCAGATCAATATTTCTTTCTGTGCCTAACACAAGCTTTCCTGTCCCCTCCATTTTCATTTTATGACCCTCATGACCTACAAGGGACACCCAGGCCTTTCAACTCTGCTCACTTCCTTATTCTCCACATTGGATGAGAATATTCCCCACCGATGGTGACAGGAACTCTGCTCTCAGGTCTGCTCCTGTCTCAGCTCTGAGTCCATGGAATTTGAAGAATGGTGGAGAAGGTGCCTGGGAACCCTGTTCTGAGTCAGGGTGAACTATGTCACTGACAGTAGAGGATGCTCTTTTGCTTACTCTTCTCAAGGTTCAAAAAACAAATGTCGCCTGAGTGTGGTGGCACACACTTTTGATGCCAGCATTTAGTAGGGAGAGGCAGGTAGATAGTGTGTGTTTAAGGCCAGCCTAGTCTACATAGCAAGTTCCAAGCAAGATAGGACTGTACAGTGAGTATCAAAAATTATCTGTATCAAAAAATATCTGTACTGATGAATAGTGTCAGGCTCTGGTCAGCACTGTGACTATTCACTTACTTCTCTGTAGTATTTAATCCGAATCCATGGGGCAAGAAATACAAATTTTTATACAAACAGAAATTCTTCAGTTAGGGGTTTCTCCCAGTCCTGAGATCTAGCCTTTATCACTGTTAAGATTAGCCCCATGACATCTTATTTAATTAAAAAGAAACAGAAGGCTGTTTAATAAAAGAGGGGTCTGACTATTCACACTCACAGAAAGTGTGGACAAGAATCCCCACAAATATCATTGGGAAATACATTCCCCCTACAATGAGATTTGTGGACAGGTGGGTTGAAGAGCCTCCCAGTGTGAAATCTACACAGATACCCTGAGTCAGGGTCTCTGTGAGTGATCTTGATGGGTAAGATTCAGCTCTCTTCTTGCAGACCACATCTTCAACCCAAACATGTGATCTTGTAGAGGGCCACTTCATTCTATGGATCTTGGGGGCTGTCTGAGATTTCTGAAGGTGACAGATTCTCATCTGTACCCATCCCTTGTTTATCCACAGATCCAGTAACTACACCCTCCATCCAAGTCAACCAAACCATAGACAAAAACCTGACCTCTGTGTTCCTGAAGTGCCTGTCAATCGACATTAATATCTCCATTCATTGGTTCTTCAAAGGCCAGAGTCTGAGGATCACAAATAGGATGAATCTGACTGAGAACAACAGCACCCTCCAAATAGTCCCTGCCAGGAGGGTGGATTCTGGGGACTATCAGTGTGAAGTATCCAATCCACTCGGTTCCAAGAAAAGTGACCCCATCCAGCTGGACGTAATAGGTGAGTGACCTCTGTTCCCCTTTTACTCCATAGTGTTGTAGGTGGGGCAGTTTCTTTATTATCAGAGTGGAGAATGGGTAAAAGTCACAGGGAGAAAAACATTGTTCAAGTTACAAATACAGCCAGCTTGCTGATGATTGTATGTTAATCTCATGATAACACACCAAGCAAGGTCAGCACAGTGCTGCATGTCTTTAACCCCAGCACACCAGAGGCAGAGACAGTTGGACTTTGTGAGTTACCAACCACTATGGTCTTGTAGCCAGTTTCAGGTTAGCCAGAGCTACATAGTGAGACCCTACTCAAAAAAGAGAGAGCATGAAGCAGGAGGCATAGAAGTACAAGGCCACTTAACTGAATATACCAGGCTCTGCTGACTCCCCATAGGAGACCTTGCCTTGGAGGAGGTGGGAATTGGAGGTGGATTGGAGGAGAACGCTTTGGGGTGGGAGGAGGCAGGACAGGGGAATCTGTGGTTGGTATGTAAAATGAATAGAAAATATCTTAATAAAAAAGAAGTACAAGGCCACTCCAGATTATAAAGTGAGACCTGGTCAATAATGACAACAACAGATGTCAATATAGCAAATAAAATTGCAAAGTGATTAAGAGTTTAGGGTGTAAGTCATACACACATACAACCCTCAGAATCTAGTAAAATATTCATGTCATTCTATACCGCATACCACACAATCAAAATTTCTTTAGATTATTTTCAATATCTAATATGAATACTGCATAAACCCTAGTCTTATTCTGTTGAGTACAGGACAAAGACTGGAGGAAAAAGTACATTTTCCATTGTAGACATACTTTTCCAAGTAGTTTGTTTCCAAGGTTTTGATCCATAACTATAAAGCCCATAGATAGAAATGACCTGTATTCAGTTTCTTACTAGGTTTGCTTATTTATTCATTTTGTATGGGTGTTCCATGCCTAGTGTATGGAGGTCAGATGACATCTTGTGGGGTCCAGTACTTGGGGACAGGGAATTAACTCAAGTAGATAAGCAAGCCCTTATTCTGCTAAGACATTTCACTGTCCCTCATTGTTTGTGCATTTATATCTATCTGTGTGGGAGTTGGGGCTAGTTACTGGGAGGGAATAGGTCAGGCACTCTTCCCAACTGAGCCATCTTGGTGGCCTATATACTGAGTTTCTTATCCTCATACTCCTTGAACAAGACTTTTTTTCTGATAACTGGTTTTTTTTGTGGTATGTAGCAGTAGTCATAGTAGTAGTAATAGTATTTGCAGTAGTAGTAGTAGTAGTAGTAGTAGTAGTAGTAGTAGTAGTAGTAGTAGTGTGTTTGATTCTTAAGCAATTGAGCTATCTTTCCAGTCCCATAAACAAAATACACGGAGAGATAGCTCAATAGTTAAGAGCTCTAGCAGCTCTTCCCAATGAGAGTGGTTCAATTCCCAGCACCCACATGGCAGCTTAATACTGTCTGTAACTGAAGTTCCAAGGAATTCAACACCCTCTTCTGTCCTCCTCATGTAGAAAATAAGTGTGTGGTGTAGAGACATATAAGCATCCGAAGGCCCATGTGATGCATCTGGCATCATAACAAAGACATCATTTGAAATCCAATCTCAAGGTGCTTTCATCCTGTCTCCTAAGAGTCTGATGACTTTCAGCTCTGATGCATTTTAGGTCTTTGATCATTGTATATGTCTTTGATCGTTTGTATATGTTGTTAGGTGAAGTCTTAACTTCATTCTTTTACATGGATATTACATCTTCCCAACATCCCTTGTTTCACTGATTTTTCTTCCAACATTGTGTAGTCTTAGTAGGCTGAACCAAACACATCTGGTCAAAGAGGGTCAATTGGACAGCAAGAATACCTTCCAAGTTCTGTAACTCAATAGAACAACTCTGTTTCACACCAATTAATTAAAAAGAGCCAGCAGAAATGAATGTTTTTTAACAAATATAACAAGTGACAGATGAAATGATGGATATGCCAACTGCTCAGATCTGACACACATTATAATATATATGCAAAACTGAGCCCCATAAATGCACATATGATTGCTTCAACTAATCTTTAATTTAATGATAGCCAATGTGAAGGAGCAGCTCTGGGCTTTCCAATTCCATTTCACTGATGTGTATGTTTGCCTTTATGTCAGTAGTAGAGTATTTTGATTCTTGCAAGTTTGTACTAAAATTATGAAATCATGTAGGATGTCCTGCAATCTTATTCTTTTATTTCAGGATACCTTTAAGGCCAGGTATGGTGGTGCTTGCTTCTAACCCCAGCTCTTAGGAGCACACAGAGACAGGTGCATCTCTGGGATTTTGAGGCCAGCCTGATCTACATAGTTAGTTCCAAAACAGCTAGAATGGACTTTTCTATTTCTGTGCAAAATTTCACTGGTGTTTTGATCTGATGTGCATAGAACTTATAGTTACATTCAGGGATATTGTCATCTATTTAAAAAGAAGTCTTTCAGGTAAGCTGGCTTATGCCTGTAATTCCAGCCACTCAAGAAGTTGAGGCAGGAGTACCAAACTTCTATATGATAACACTGGTGAGTTGTCAGAGCAAAATTGTGTTTCAACAAAACAGCAGAATAGTCAGAGGATGAAATCTGAAAAGTTCCATTTATAATATATTGTAGCTGGAGGGCTTCTCTCCAGGTTCCCCAAGCCCCGCAGTCCCACAATCCACTTATAAAATAATCACTCCAACGCTTATATCACTTATAAACTGTATGGCCGTGGCAGGCTTCTTGCTAACTGTTCTTATAGCTTAAATTAATCCATTTCCATAAATCTATG